TGCATTATCAATACCTTCTTGCTTATGGTATTTTTGATGGCAGAATTTGGCTGTGTAAGCCCTAAATTGATTCATTTTCTTTGAAACACAAAGATGTTAGCAAGTTTAGTTCACCTTGTGAAACACTAGAATCCAGTTAGAGTAGAGGATCTCCATTTCTATTTCCCTGATTTCATTCTTTTAGTGTGAGATTCCAGTCCTCTCTTCTGATTATGAGAGGCTGAATGTTGGCAATGCCTCAAACAGCCAAATGATGCTTTAGCATTAGCTTCTGATACTTTCCCTTGTTCTTTTTTTTTTTTGGGGGGGGGTCCGGTCATGGGGCCTGAACTCTGGGCCTGGGTGCTGTCCCTCAGCTCTTCAGCTCAAGGCTAACACTCTACCATTTGAGCCACAGCGCCACTGCCAGCTTTTTTCTTTTTTCTTATGTGGTGCTGAGGAATTGAACCCAGGGCCTCAGGCATGCAAGGCAAGCACTCTACCACTGAGCCACCTTCCCAGCCCCTTTCCCTTGTTCTATGGAGAGGACTTATGGAAGTTTTAATCATTGACCCTATCCTTAGCACTTCTTATCCAGTAGATTTTGGGTGGAGTATAAGAATGTGTTTTCTAACTAGCTCCAGGGAAGTAATAATACTTGAGGAATATACTTTGTGAACCATTCTGCCCAACATCATTTTAGGTGCAATCAGTTTTTTTCTGCCCTACAGCCTCCTCATGATGCAAGGATGCATGATACTCAAAAACCATTTGTATAAAACTTTCTGTTCTGTTGTTAAATTTCCACATGGAAATTCACTTCCCTCTCTAGGTCTGGATTCTTGTTTCATTTAAATAGCTTCTGAAGGTGTTTCTACTGCAGGTGTTTAAAGATGACAAAGGGACCAATTTGTGTGCTGTGACTGATATCAAAAGTAATACTAAGCAAAAACATTGGAATCCACAGTCCAAATAGAATTTTGTGTGACAAACTATAGTAAATAGATGGAGACCACTACACATAACTTTACAATTTACATCAGGGATCAGTCAACACCTTTTCCATGAAGACCATAAGCCCTCTGTCCCAAATTTTCAACTTTGACATTAGGTGTGAAAATAGCCATAGGAAATATGTGAGTGAATGAAAGGAACCTGTGAGCTAATAAAACTTTATTTACAGAAGCAGGAACAGGTCAAATTTAGACTCACCATCTTCAAATATACATTTTTATTCAATGCACATAAATATTTTTCACTAAGTCCATTTTTAGTTTCAATATTTAATAACTCAACGGGAGAAAAAATGATAATTTGCACTGGGATAAATGTAGCAGTATATTGACTATTAAGTGTTGAAAATGCTTAATTTATAATATAATACCTATAATTTTACATGGCCTAATAAGAATAAATTCATTTGTAAATTTTCTAGCAAAAATAAATGTCAAGCTTTTTAAAGTTCAGAAGCAATTTCAATATTACGTCTTTTATTAGTAGTTTATAGCTGAGCTTTTATTATAAAACTTTTATTATAAAATACATAAAGCATTTAACTTCTGAGGCAGAGGATAGGAAATATATCTTTAGTATGTAACTGAGGATTGTTTTGACCATTGCAACTTGGAATCCTTGCTCTTAGACTAACCTGAAGGTCTGTGGCATTGATTCCCCAAGAGTGGATTCCACTTCCTCCCAAAATGTGGTTTCTAAGTGTGTTCTGAGTGTAAAGTCTTTAGTCACATTCCAATGGACTGATTTCCTTGACAGTTACCCTATAATTCAAAGGCAACTTGTACATGACCATTGTTCTGAAACATTTAAAAGCTAAAAGGGGCCTATTTGGCATTTTCACATAATTGATGAAATATAAATTGCTTTATTTTGCATTAATCCTGGAGGTAATCCATTATCTTTATTCATTCTCTTATTAGTATGTGGGATGAAAACGACATTCTGATGGGGTCTCATTGGCACAGATATAGCAACCACTTTTAAAATAATTTCTTTTTTTTCTTTTTTTTTTGGGGGGTCCGGTCGTGGGGCCTGAACTCTGGGCCTGGGCGCTGACCCTCAGCTCTTCAGCTCAAGGCTAGCGCTCTACCACTTGAGCCACAGCGCCACTTCCGGCTTTTTTTTCTTTTTGCTTATGTGGTGTTGAGGAATCGAACCCAGGGCCTCTGGCATGCAAGGCAAGCACTCTACCACTGAGCCACCTTCCCAGCCCCTAAAATAATTTCTTTTCTTTTGCTTGATGCTGGTCATAGACTTACCTATGTTGATTTCTAGCCTTCCTAGAACTAGGGGAATGTATAGTTCCATAGAAAGCTAAGTCAATACAAGTTTCATGTTGTGGCTATCATTACTTTTTATAGCTTCATTTTATTAAAATAAATAATCAAAAAGTCTGTATCTGTGATGACCTGAAATGTATAGGACTACAACAGAATCTTAGATTAAAGAATATGATGTTATGCAACTCTAAGCAAACAGACTTTTTGTTGGAAGATACCAAGAGCATGGATTTTCATTGTCTAAGGTAGTTGATTCTCTCATTCAATTTATCTGCTTCACTTCAGAATCTTTCGTGCTTTCTCTGTGTGTGTGTGTGTGTGTGTGTATATATATATATATTTATATATATATATATACACACAAAAGTTTCTGTGCCCATATAATCTTTCATATCTTGAGATATTTGGAGCACTGTAATTTCTTTTCATGCTTTGGAAGACAGCCAATACATGCAACTTAAGAGAAAGCATTTTTTCAAAATAATTATTATGTATGCAGCCAGCATATCTTTCCCATCCTCTGTAAAGAATATAAAGCTTTTAAAGATTTCCCCTTCAGCTCTCAGCACATTTATCTTAGCAAGTTCTATCTGATTCAGCATTGTTTAGATGAAGACCCTGAGGGCTAGTCCATCAAGTTTGCAGATGTCACTAAGCTGTGAAGGAGGACAATCTATGGTAGATGGCAGCCACAGAATTTAGAAAACATTGTGTCAGGCAAGAGAGGTAAGATGGATCTAATAAAATAAAATACAACAGCAATACACAATTCATAAGCTAGCTTTCCTAAACAACCAACTCTACAAGTTCTGACAGTGCTAAATGAGGGGTTAGTCTTCATTAAGTTTAATATAAGTCAGCATTATGACATAACCAAATAAGCAAAAAAATATTGAAACCAGACTGTTAAAGTACAGCATTGAAAACAAAAGGCACATGAGTCCTGAGTCATTGTTTTTGTTGACATATTTATTTCTGTCTCAGCTAAGTCACTTGAGAAATGAACATACAAAAATCTGACCCCCAAATTTCAGGATTAAGTGTGATCAATGAAAAAGAGTATAATGAATAAGGAACACCAGAAGTGTTCCATTTATGAGGAATAATGATGATGAAGATCATGATCTTCATAGAAAATATTAAGAATTGGAGAATTCAATTGTGACCATGAATGAATGAAAAATGATGGGCCAAACCAAAAGCTGATACAACTCAGTGAATACATAAGAATTTTTTTCTAAAAACTGCAGTTTAAAATGTGATAGAAGGTATTGGGAGTGCTATAATTATATAAAAAAAGATGTAATAAGAATCCAGATTTAATAGTAAGTGATTCCAAAGATGGGCACTCTGAATAGCTCATACTGAAGAGTTCTTCATGCCTATAGAGCTTCAAGCATAATATTGATGATTTTATGTACAGTTAATATGGAGATTGGTTGCATGTCCTTTAAAGTACCTCCATTCTTTAGTTTTGTAAATATTCAGAAATAACCACATATGCCAAGTCTATCTTATGTATTCAGCTTCTTTAATGTGTGAGGTGTGCGATTACTGTGAGCAACCAACATGAAATTAGACAAGGCTGCAAAATGTTTGGTCTTAATGACTAAGTTATTGACCTTCAACGCTCTGTAACTGGGAGTCCTCGAGGCCAGTACTCCAGAAATTGTATTGTGCTTGTAATTTGGTGAAGTGCAGCATGGTGGAAAGTAGCACCTGATTACAAACTCTTCTAATAAACAACCCGAAGGCTTTCTTGTTGAAGTAGAAATTGTTTTTTTTTTGTTTTTTTTTCTTTCCGGGGTCTGGTTGTGGGCCTGAACTCTGGGCCTGGGCGCTGCCCCTCAGCTCTTCAGCTCAAGGCTAGCACTCTACCAATTGAGCCACAGTGCCACTTCCGGCTGTTTTCTTTTTTCTTATGTGGTGCTGAGGAATCGAACCAGGGCCTCAGGCATGCAAGGCACGCGCTCTACCACTGAGCCATCTTCCCAGCCCCTAGAAATTGTTTTTAAACTGTAGGCCGTGGTGATGCTTTAAAGTAGTGTTACTTAACTTGGTTAGTTAAGGTATTTCATGTCTCTGGACATCAGTTTATTTTTTTCTGTGTAAAAAAAGTAAAAATCAAACTGCCTGCTAGTATGGAGACAGAGATAAAATTAGATACATGCATTTGAAAAAGTTAGGAGTTACATCCTTATGAATTAGGAAAATGCACTAATGGGGTGTGAATTCTTGATCATATAGGCTTTACATTTGGTTAGTGAACGTTCTGAATAACCCTTATTCAGAAATATATTGAGGTTAACAAAGACTTTTGAAAGCATATATTGAATACAGAAAAAAACAGAAATACAGAAAAAGCTGTCTCATATACTGAATGATACAGATGCGGTATGTCTACATTGGAAAAATTAAGCTATGTCAAATGCTTACTGTGTATATACAAAATAAAAGAGCACTGTTCTAGTTATTAATAGAGAGATATTAGTAAGAATACTCAGATTTTATGTCTCCATTTGACTTGAGACACTCTGTTCAAGCTGGGGGGCCGGAGAGGGCGTGCGTGCAGAAGCATGGATCGACATTGTGCGAAGTGGATTGACGAAGATTTGAAGAAATGCTTTCTACGAGTTTTGTAAAGTATTTTACAAAGTTTGGTTTTCATAGTGCAGCTGTCCTGTCAGCCTGTGTTGATTAAAGGCCCTTCACCTCATTTCTAAACAGGATGGGAAGATATTCTGCCGGCGGACAGCTTGTGATTGCCAGAACCCCAGTGTTGACCTCTTCTGTTGCCCTGAGTGTGACACCAGGGTCACAAGTCAATGTTTAGATCAAAGTGGACACAAGCTCTACCGAAGTGGAGACAATTGGACCCACAGCTGCCAGCAGTGTCGCTGCCTGGTATGTCGGCTTCCTGCACTGCTCCTTTATTCTGAAGGGATTCCCCAGATGCTTGTGGGCTGTAGATCAAAAGTGTTTCCAATATTTACAGGAACTTCTGAGGCTGTGGCTAAGAGGCCTATGCTGTGCTTGAAGACATTCAGACTGTATTTAGAACATTGTGCAAGACAAAAAAAAAAAAAGGACACATCTGTGGTACACATTGGGATGGCACAACGTTAATTTCTATGTAATAAATTTTAGGAAGCCCAGAATAAGAAAAGTCTCCATGGATAGCTAGCTTTGAAAACCTTCATTGGTCCTTTTAATGTCAAAAAATTTGTAAAACATGACATTTAAAAGTTTTAATATGAGAGGTAACAAAACATAGTAGAAATACTAGCAATTGAGTGGTATAGAAATGGAATCTTATCATAGGTGTCCCTGTGCTAGCTTGCTGAGCGCTATCATTCTATTGATCATTCATTTCCTTTGAACCTATTTCAGATAGCTTTTTGGATGATTGGAAAATGTGGTAGACAAATACTGTACTGTACTTGTTACATAGAAGGTACTTAGTTCTGTAGAAGGCACTTGACATGTGGTTACTATTGTGAATATTTCCTAACTTGAAAGTCTGTCTAATATACTAAATGATACAGGCACTGTATGTCTATATTAGAAAAATTAAGATAGGCAAAATGCTTACTGTGTGTACAAAGTAAAGACTATATTAATAGAGAGATATTAGTAAGAATACACAGATTATAAGAAGTCCAAAATAAAAGGCTTAATTTCTGGATTTTACTGGTGCTTCAAACAGTGATTTCCAAGGATGGGAAGACTTTTGAGTATGTTTTATCTGTGAAGAGTCCCCAAGAGCATTAAACCTGAATCAATTTGTTATGGAAAGTCTTAGCTGGGTGCTTAAGATTGGCTCAAATGCATTTTTCAGTCTATAAGTACTATATGAAAACAAGCAATCAGAGAAATTGTCCTCTAAATTCCCATCAATATTCACATTTAATACCAAGCAAATGCACAGATAATCTTGAAAACACACACTCTTAATCACTCATAATACTGAGAAGTATAACTCAGATAAATTTAAATCACAATTATTTTCTCAAACTCTCATCAAAATACAACATACACAATAATGTGCCGACAAGAGCCCAATATATATTCTATGAGATTAGTAAGAGTGAGGGAAGGAAGTAGGTAGGAGAGGAGAAGGGAGTAGGAAGGAAGTGGGTAGGAGAGGGATGGGTGGCAATGTTGAAAGAGGTGTCAATTGACCAAGATTTCTTGTATTCACAAACTGCTATGTTAAATGGTAACTCCTTTGTACAACTACTTAAAGATAATTATAATAATTGAAAATGAAAAAATATTTTTAAAGATTTATAAAGCCTATAAGTTGGTTTCCATAGTAGTCTGGAAAGCTGCTATTGTTTTTCAAGAAGCTAGTTACCAGGTAGCTAGAATGACTGATTTTAATCTTATCCATGAAGTTTAGTAGAGTTTCAAATATATCTTCCTTTTGTCTGTCCCTTCAGAGATTTTTTTTTGAAAATAAGAGCTTTTGAATACTATCTTGAGAATAATATGGGTCATATTTCATAAATATTTACCTGAGTGTGCCTTGTGTCAGACTCTGGATGATACAGAAGTGAGCAAGATCAACATAGGGTGGATAGTACCTGTAATAGCTGACCATAGTTTTTGTGAACAGACTATTTTCTTGTGACTCACCGTGTAGTGTAATAACAGTCATTATTACAGAGGAAGAAGATACGTAGAGAAGCAATTTTATAATGGGCAGACCACTAGAACTGCATATGCCAGCAGCAGAGGCACATTAAGCTTCATTTGAACTGTAATACAGAAATTTTACTTGTCACACATAATCACAGGCTGCACTTGACATACAAAAGAGCTGACCTCACTCTTCTCGTGAGCCATCAAAATGAGGTTTAGTAAAAACATTCTTGAGAAAGATGGTTTTCTGCAGTATTACTTCACAGAGGGAATGAATAGTGTCCATAATGTTGATAACTGGGATAACTGGTAACATTCAGTGAGTTGAGCTATGAAAACTACTGTGATCTTTTCCCGCAGAAGAGCAATGATGCATCATTTTGGCTTTCTCTCTACAGGAAGGAGAGGTAGATTGCTGGCCGCTCACTTGCCCCAATCTGAGCTGTGAATACACAGCCATGTTAGAAGGAGAATGTTGTCCCCACTGTGTCAGTGACCCCTGCCTGGCTGATAACATGGTCTATGACATCAGAAAAACTTGCCTGGACAGCAACGGTGTATCGAGACTTAGTGGTGCAGTCTGGACAATGGCTGGATCTCCCTGTACAACCTGCAAATGCAAGGTAATTGGCTCTCCTGGGGATATACAGGCCTTCAACAGTTACCAGAGTACATTTGCAGGAGAGTCATTCCTGAGGTTTCTGAATGCTCTGGTTTGGTGGACACACAAAGGAAACACAGACAGGCATTTACTTCTCACAGGAGGTTAATAAGAATGAACAGACCATAGCTGCACCTTACATAAAGGCAAATTCCAAATGAACATGGAAGTAACATCCCTTTTCTTTAAGCTTCAGAATTTTAAAAATATGGTGGATTTGAAATAGTTTAACCTGCATGTTAGAGAAAGAATGAGAGACAGATAGAGAAGAGGGAGAAGAAGGAAAGGGAAGAGAAAGAGGAGGAGGAGGAGGAGGAGGAGGAAGTGGTGGTGGTGGAGGAGAAAACTTCTAACTTTGTTCATCATGGATATTTTTCTAAGTTTTTCATGATACTGTCAGTAAGTAGGGGGAAAGTATCCTATTAAGTAGTTTGTTATGATCTTTTATCAACTTGTCTAATACAGGATGTGCAGCTGTTGCTACAGTGGTTGTTTGATTATCTGTTCCATAAAACATCTTCATGCATTTTGAAACCACCCCTCCCTTCAATGCTCATGAAGAGTCATGATTAACAAATTTAGAGTTGGGGGAGCAATATTTAGTCAGTGACAAAATATCTTGCAAAATATTTGTTTAAGATTCCAGATTGAGTTTTGTTTTAAAAAAATCAGTTAGTTGGTTCCGTCAGAGTCTGGCTCAACTTCACCCATCAGTTCAGGGTTGATAACTTTCCATTTATAGGGTTACTATTCTGAAATCTTCTCTCTTTCCTGAAACATATCATGTTAAGATATAATCCTGATAGAAATATAATTTTTACAACAAAATGTCATAGTTCCATCTAGCCCTTTGCCACAGAAAACTAAATTTCCAGACATGGACAAAGATGCTATTTAATATTTTTATGATCAGATTAGAGACTCATTAAAGAGGTATTTATTTATTATATCCATATATAAAATTGATTTTTTCAAGAATTTCCAAGATTTTCTTGTACTGTCTCCTTTCTGATTGTCATATAAGCCATTATATTTATACTTACTATATATACTTTTCTTGACCCTGTCTTTGTATAGATTCTTGTGGTACAGGGTCAAGGCACTGTCACTTAGGTGTTTTTTCTGTTTTGTTTTATTCTGTTTGTTCTGTTATATTTTTGTTGTTTTTTGTCTTTTTTGTCAAAGTTGATGTTCTACCACTTGGGCTACAGCTCTACTTCTACTTTTTGGTAGTTACTTTGAGATAAAAGTCTTAACTCTCCTGCCAGGGCAAGGTTTGGAAACATGATCCTCAGATCTCAGCCTCCTGAATAGCTAGGATTATAGGCCTGAGCCACCTGGATCCCATCAGTTTTGAAGTCGCAGGTTGTCCCTTGGTAGAGATTTATGCTTGGAAAGACTCTCACTTAGAATAAATCCAGCAAATAGGTAATGGTAAAACATATATTACTGGATTGGGTGCAGGCAGGACATGGAATTGCATCACTAGTAACCTCTAACAAGAGGGTCTGTTGTCTTTCTTTCAAAAAAGAGAAATTCCTCTTTCACATTTTCATTTCCAGGATGCATCAGATCCTGTTTAATATGAAGATTTCAGATTGCTTATTGGCTTATGTTCTGGCCCAGTTGGCTAACACTTATGTTCTTGTTCTTGTTGTCCAGAATGGGAGAGTCTGCTGTTCAGTGGATTTGGAATGTCTTCAAAATAACTGAAGTATTGAAAATGGACTCATCAGAGGAGAAAAAAATGGACAAAATGACCATCAAACATGATGAAGAATAGGAGTTGCTTTTTATAACACAATTACCAAAGTCTCCATCCTGAGGAAGGTGTTTGGGGTTGCCTTTGGACATACCACTTTGCTCATCCTTGCTAACCTAGTCTAGGTGACCTACAGTGCAGTGCATTTAAAGTCTATGGTTGTTAAAAGAAGTTTCCCGTGTTGTAAATCACGTTTCCCTTATCAGATCATTTTCGAATACATTTAACTGATCTCATGGTAAATATTGATGTATTTTTTTTGCTTTATTTTGTGTACTAACATAATAGAGAGTCCTCACCATATATTTATTTACTTATTTATCTCAATTTTGGATCCAGTTCTAAAAATAAAGTTGCCTGTTGTGATTTTTGTCTCATTCACTGAATACTTAGCATGGAAATATCTTTGTGAGACGTTAGTGCTAAGGGGTTGGAGGCATGGGCTCAGTTGGTAGGCTGCCAGCCAATGAGCAAAAGCATAAGGTACAAAGTTCGAGTCCCAGTTTCACACCTAAAAATAAAAGAGGAGAAAAAAGTGATGTAGTGCTAAAAGTATCACCTTTACATTTGAAATTCCTGAACATACCTAGATTCCCACTTATTCATCTTAAAGGTACTAAAGGTAGTTATGAACTCAAAAGAGGGAAGGACCATAAACAGAAAATATTTTTTTAATGGCCAGGTGCTGGTGGTTCATGTCTATAATCCTAGCTACTCAGGAAGCTTATCTCTAAGAATTGCAGTTCAAAACCAATATGTACAGGAAGGTCCATGAGAATTTTATGTCCAATTACCCTGTCCCCCTCCAAAAAAAAAGCTAGAAGTAAAGCCATGGTTCAGTGGTAGAGTGCTAGCCCTGAGCAAAAAATATTTCAGAGCCAGCACTTAGGCCCTGAGTTCAAGCCCTGGGACCAGCACTAAAAAGTAAAACAAAGAAAGAAAAAAAGAAAAAGCTCTTCCTTCTTCAAAAAATAAAAAAATAAAATAAGTGAAACAAAAATCCAAACATAAGGCCCTTCTTTGCATTGAAAGCAAAATGATCTTTGCATCCATTGTGTATAGTACTGAATAAACCACAAAATACTTCAATAGTTAATGTAGTTAATATCATGATATAGATGAATAACATTTACCCTGTATCACATAAATGTGAATCAAGGAGTTTGACCAACCAGGTATTTTCAGAGCTGATTTATAGCCCATTGTGTCAGATAACCAAGGCTCCTGACTCCTGTGCAGTTCTATTTTCCACTGATAGACATTACCTCTTGTGAGATGGGGAGGATACTTTTAAGGAAAGATATTTGTATGCTCAGTAATTGTTTTATAACTGAATTTTCCTACTTGGGCCACCTCCAGGTTTTTAAGAGCTGTCAGTTTTTAAGTTCTACAAAATGAATACAAATGTATAACTGACATTTTGTTTGAACTGAGAATTCAACTTTAAGTTATATTTTCAGTCAAATAACATCTTATTCTGAATTAAATTAGTTCATGGATTTCTGGCTACTACCCTAAATCAAAGAGATAACTAGGTTGGGCATGGCAAAGACCTAATCCCAGTACTTGGGAGACAGAGACAGGATTACAAATTCAATGCCAGAGTGGCCTAGATAGTCTAAACTTTATCCCTTCCCTAGTCCTCCTCTCCAAAAGATGTAACTAGTTATTCAACCATGCCAAAAATAATATTTAAATCCTATCTGGTTAGTAACATACAGCTTTGAAGGCAGAGGCAAGAGGGTCACAAGTTTTTAGGTTAATCTGGATCATGAAGTAAAACTTTCTCAAAAACAGAGAGAACATAAAAATCATACATGATAGAATTACCAACTTAAACTACCAAACTCAAATTGCTATTATTTATTGATAGTTCATGGAGATTATAACATTTTTATGAAAATGGAATTCAATACATGAACCCAACTTTAAGTGATGAATTATGATAAGGGCCATTCAGATAGATTATTTGACAAAGACTGATACAATATGACAAATTAGAATTCATCTCTTTTTGTTACTTTCTTAAGTGGAACCTTGTGGTGAAGAATTTGAAAAATACTTGTTTTAAAAATATGTATGGAAATTCAATTTAAAGAAATCTCTCAGCCTAGTGCCAGTGGCTCAAGCCTGTAATCCTAGCTACTCAGGAGATCTGAGGATTGCAGTACAAGCAAGGCCAGCGCAGGCAGGAAAGTCTATGAAACTTGTATCTCCAATAAACCACCAGAAAGCTGAAAGTGCACTGTGGCTCAAGAGTAGAGTGCTAGACTTGAGCTGAAGTGCTGAGAACAGCACCCAGGCCCAGAGTTCAAGCCCTACTAGCAACATTAAAAATAAAAAAGAATCCCTCAGTTTCTGCTGTAAAAGAAAAAGCATCCATGAAAAATGTTTCTGATTTCATATGTCTGCAATTGTATAAGTACAGAAACATGTCTAGTCCAGCTCCTGCTTGTCTGAATAGAACTAGATGGGTGAATATATTTGCTTATTTTCTAAAGCTGTGGGATAGATTGGAGAGTTGAATAGTCAGATTCCAAGTTAGACATAAAGTCCACAATGTTGCTATCTTGCCAAAAACAAAAGCATGCCAACTTCCTATAGACAATAACTGGATAATGATATATATTACAGAGTCAGTTGTACTTTTTTCCCAAGGAATTCAAAAAACTCAATATTTTATTCAAATATTTATATGTGCATACTTTATTATGGTGTCATTAATATCAAAAGTAGTCCTAAAATATCATAATATGCAATATTCTCTTTATCTGAGACATGATGGGGAAAATTTAATGTGGTATAACTAGATGATTAAATATGATTAGTATTCCAGAGCACAATTTAAATTACTGCCAGCCCCAATCAATAATCTATCTAGTTCCTATAAAAATAATAGATGACATTACTAATTAAAATTTATTTATGCAGTCAAGTACTAATGGCTCATGCCATTAGTACTCAGGAGCTACTCAGGAGGTTGAGATCTGAGGATTTCAGTTCTAAACTGGCCTGGGCAGGAAAGGTGGTAAGATTCTTATCTCCAACAAACTACTTAGAAAATGCTAGAAATAGCACTGAGGCTCAAGTGGTAGAGCACTCGTATTGAGCAAAAGAAGCTCAGGGATAGCCCCCAGGCCTTGAGTTCAAGCCCCAAAATCCACACACACACAAAAAAAAGAAAAATAAATTTTTCCAGGAGAAATGAAATGTGATTTTAGTCTTACCCACTCAGGAACTTGAGGCAAAACTCATGAGTTCAAGACCAACCTGTACAACACAGCAAGACCCCATGTTAAAAACAATTGTTGACTATGATACACACACACACACACACACACACACAGTGTTTTGCTAAGTTCTACGGAGAATATAAAAAGGTGAATACAGCATAACCTTGTATTAAATGTCACTGAAGAGCACTAGCCTTGAATACAAGAGGCCTTTGTGTTCAAACCCCAGTAGCAGAAAAATAACAACCAAACAATAGAAACAAAAATGTAATAAATCTCCCAATATGCTGTGTTTATCTACTGTGCTACAATTTACAATGTAAAATGGATATTTATTTAATGAGCCAAAGCAATATGTGACAAATCTTATTTCCTTAGAGAGCACACCATTGTCTGCCTGCACCACCATGGTTGTAATACTGCTGACATACACATTGTATGAAACAATAAAAATACATAAGCCATTCTGGCCCTCCTCCCATAATTACTCCTGTGATTTAGGGGAGTACACTACGAAGAGAGATGAAAGTTCCATGTATTAACTAGACACATATCAATCAAACACAAAGTTTGTTGCATTCTTTTTCTCTCGGTTGTGTATGAATATGTATATACATAATTTCATATGAATTGTATATGAATAAGTGTAATATTTATTGCAATCCACAATTCATCTATTTATATCTATTTAAGTCTATTTAATTTATCTCTCTACACACAACCACACACACATTTAGATTTTGCAGCCTTCTCTCTGAGCTTCACAGATCTGCTCATGTCACTGTTGGGCATTTTTAATATTCCTTTTCATAATCATAATAATATTGGTATTCATATTTGATAGTTATATGATTAAATATGTGTCTTGCATATAATGGATTCTCAGTTAAGTCTTTTAAATAATTCACATTTTTGTTACATAAAAAATTTTAGTCTAATTTAGACAACACACCCCAGGGGATTTCGAATGCTCTTAAGTCATATGACCTGTTTACAAAGCAGACTTTATTCACTAATTCACTAACCCAATATAAAAATCATATAAAAGCAAAATTTTTCTGATTGGAACAAGCGTAGGTCATTTGAAACTACTTCACATCACTCACAACTCATAGCTTTCATAAGAGAACAAGTTAACACTGGTTTCAGGGCACATCTCTCACTTGGCTTACTTGTTCCTGACACTCTACCATTTGCTTTTCATTGATTAACTGGAGATGGAGTCTCCTGCACTTTTCTGCCTGGGCTGACATCAAATTGTGATCCTTCAGATTTCATCCTCCTGATTAGCTAGGATTACAGGCATGAGCTTCTGGTTCCAGTTCACTTTTACTTCTATAAATGCAATAGTGATACTCACTAGACATTATGTTAGAAAAGAACTTTACATCCTGGGAGGAGGGGAATGTGGAGGGGACATGAGAAAATGAGAGAGGGGGCAACCCTGCTCAGAAAGAAATGTTCTCATTACCTTACTTAAGTAACAGTAACCCCTCTGTCCATCATGTTTATAATAAAGTTTTTAAAAATTCCCATCATATTTATGATAAAGTTTAACAAATAATAATCAGGCAAAAATAAAAAATAAAACAACCTGGGAAACTGACACTCAAAGTGATTAAGATACTTGTCCAGTGCTCACAGCTAATTATTTGAACTAGAATTACCATCCAACCCCGGCTGGTTTAAACCTGTACAATCCTGCCAGGGATTCCAAACTTGCTTTCACATTTCCATTTCAACAGAGTTTTTCCTACTACTTCTAACTGGATGATGATCAGGAATGTTATGTGGTATTTTTTATTGTCTCTGAGTTCTACAGCTCGCTTGACTGTGACACTGTTTCATGAAAATTCAGATAATGGTTCAGTGAAAGATTTAGATTTCAAGAGCAGACAACACATCTGAACTCACAATAGCAATGAGCTATTTTTTTCAACATCCCGATCTCACACTTTACATGAAGCAACCAAAGGGAAATAAAATAGATCGCAAAAGCAATTGCTCCTTTGGATTTAAACAACACAAGCACAGTCAGACACAACACCTCAGAATACAATGAAATC